ATATCCATTTACATTTGAAATATCCATTTAGGATGGCGCTGGCTTACAAATGAAACATATATGTGAAACTGAAATCTACAACAGATTGGCAAAGACATCCAAACAATCTAGAAAAACAACTTGAACATATAAAAGACACACTTGGCGTTGCCTGGGCTGCCTGTTCCTAGCCTGCAGTCTGCGCACCGCAGCTGTGGTCACGGAGATGGAGCTTTCCTGGCCGCCGAAAATCGGGTTCAATCACACTTCAGTCCACACTTGGGTCAAATGCGCGGCCGCAGCGGTGGACAGTCTGCGCGAGGTGACAAATCGGGTTCAAAAACTTTCCTACGGTCGGTGAAGAAGACAAGCTAAACACAGAAGCAATCAGCAGGTCGCTACTATACGAGGGTGGACGCCGTCGCTAGAAGGGTGGAGGCCATCCCTACTACCTATAATCTGACAGGTTCGGTTTGAGACTGGCAGGTTCAAATCTGCCAGATTCCTTTTGATTCTGCCGTAATCAAAATGAGTCTTCTAAGTTTTTCACCAGATAGCGAAGCTATGGGATTCTTACTTCAAATCACAATGAGCTGCCTGCGTGCGCTTTTGAGACAGGTTGCCGGCGCTGGCGCTGGTTCTGTGAGCTGGCTGCGCGCGTGGTGGAGACAGGGCGCCGGCGCTGAGTGCCGGGCGCTGGCGCTGGCGCTGTGCGTTGGCTGCGCACGTGGTGGAGACAGGGTGCCGGTGCAAGTGCTGGGCGCTGGCTGCGTGCGTGGTGGAGGGCGCCGGCGCTGTGAGCTGGCAGCTACAAGGTTATTAACCGTTTAGCTGCTAAGTCATTAGTTAAATAGTTAGCTAAGTGTTTAGCTAAATACTTAGCCAATCAAAATCACGCTGTGGAAGAACAAGTTTGCTATGAATGCACTGAAGTGAAACCAGCATTACACGCCATGGAAACAGGCCTTTGCCTGCCAAAATGTGTGATGTCAGTTATGTACAAGAAGCTGGTATGGATTTCGCAACGTGTGACTTTACTTGGCATGAGCTGGCAATGCCAGCCCCAAAGAAGCTTGTAATGGCAGCCAAGAAGAAGCCTGCAATGGCAAGAAAGCGGCCAACGAGAAGCCTGTCTTGGCAAGAAAGCCTTGCAACAGCAAAGCGCAATTTACCTCCAGGGCAATGGAATCAAAGTTGTGACTCTTTTGGTCATTGTGTGCACGCACACAACTGGTCAAAACCTGGCGCAAAGGAATTGCTGCAACTTGGCTGGAATTGTTGCGCCACAGCGTATGTATTCCCTTTGCCAACCTCCAGCAAAAACAACAAAGCCACCAAGCAGAAGGTTTGCCCAGCAGAAGCCACATGCAGTTGAATTTGTCCAGTGCACCTCCCAGACCCATCATTGCTCAGGAGACCACATCTCCTTGCGAGCAGGAAGCCCCATGCTGGATCCAAGCTGTGTGGCTTGTAGCGACCAACTTCACATCCACCATTGGCCACAAGTGCCCCACTGCGCCAGCCAGCTTGTGGGGCAATTTGTGAGCATTTTTTGGCACTCCATTACGGCAAAAGTGCTTTCGCATGTAACTCTTTGGTTGCAACTTCTTCCAACACACTCTGTTCCAGCTTGCTGGTATTGGCAATAGCACTGCCAATTTGTGACACAAATCGATGCTTTCTTTCCATTGTCCAACATGCCGCCATGACTTTGTGGGTTTTGAATGCCTGCCCTGAAAATGCAAAAACCAATGATGCTTCTTGATGACTTTCCAGCCTATGCCAACCCACAATTGCACTGCTTTTTCTGACGCCCTTTGGGTAGCTTCAGAGCAGTGATTAATTCACTGGCAGTGCAGCTGAACTTGCTGCCTTTTCTGTGTTTTTGCACTCTCTCATCTGTAAACAGCTTTTGCACATTGATGCCACACTGTGTCCACTGGCCTGCAATGGCTGACGAGCCAACATAGTCACAAAGTTCCAGCAGTCCGTTTCTTGCATGAGGTATTATATGCCAATGGATAAAATCCCATTGGAGCACAAACAGTGCGTCCAATCATGTATTGCCTGCGTGGATCCAGGACATCCCTCAGAGTCCTGTCTGCCAGCACTGCTCCTGGGGAGAAAGTTATGCCAGCAGCCTGCTGCCGCCAGCACTGCTCCTGGGGAGAAAGTTATGCCAGCAGCCTGCTGCCACCTTTAGAACTCTCCAAGTAGATCACGTTGACCATCTGCCTGCCATCCTGTCCCATGAAGCAAAGACCTCTTCAGACTCTGTCAATTGAAGCTGGCAAAAAGATGTCCATCTGGTCTCCTCACTGACACCATCATCATCTTCAGAATGGGAAAACACACTGTTGCACAGGCCGTAAACCTTGCGCCAGCATCGCACAGGCCATGAATTTTTTTCTATTTTAAACTTTGTATTCCAATTTTAATCTTTTAGATTTGAGTTCAGACCCTGAATTCAATTTTTAAGTATTTAGATGTGAATTCAAAATCTGAATTCAAATCTCACGTTTTTAAAAATTTGCATTCAGAATCTGAACTCGAATTACAAAATTAAAGAAGTCTAATTCAGAAAAGACCAAACTTTGAATATATAGTATTCATTAAAGAAATTTCCCTTACCTTCTTTCTTGCAGAGCCACAAAGCAGCCCTGATCAGGAAGCGGCCCAGCAATTTCACATGGTCCTTGTGGAGGAGACCTTGGGAGATTTTTGCAAAGCTGCCAGCAGAAGTGTAGCCATCTTTTTTGTGACCATCAAATTCTCTCTATTGCCAGCAGGCTTCATCTTGTCAATGTCAGATCGGACCAGCAATCTGCTGAAGCCATCCTTCTGCTTTGGGCTACTTAAAGCATCTGCCAGCCAGCAACATCGAACCATTGGGAAAGACGACTCCTTCCCACAGTCTGTCTTCGCTATTGCAGTGAACAGTTCTTCTCCCAGCAGCATTGACCCTGCAAAAGTTGTTTCTATGGCAGACAGCAGCTTGACCGGAGGGAAGCCTGAGCCGCCCCCATGGTGCGCCACAAATTCACCCACTACATCCAAGTAGGTCAAGGGTGAATACGCTTGGCAGTCTTGCGCACACTCTTCCAAATCATGAGTTCTGGAATAGGCCATAACCATTGACATGGCTAGCTCCACCATCTCTGTCACTTGGCCGAACCTGCCTGCAAACCATCATGGGGCTGCAGTTTCAACTACAGCAGCCAAGCATTTCTAATTCCAGCCAATGTTCACAGCTGGTTCAAAAGCACAATGTTGTGTTCTTGCGCGATGTGCTCTGCAGAGAAAACCTTTCCAAAGGCTTCCTGTTCTGGTCTGCATCCCGCATTGACAGCTTTCACAAACTGGCTCATACGGCTTGAACTCAAAGCCAACCATCGTTCTTTACCACTGGGCTGCGCAAGTTTGCCATCAACCTCTTCTACCAGCAACTGCGTGGCTTTGAGCTGGGATTCCCTTGTACTGCAATCAGAGCTGAGCTCTATGCACCAGCTCTCACTCAACCTTTCACGCGCCCATCCAACCTTCGAAGCTTGGGATCTTCTGCTATGCGCATCAGCAGCATTGACCATGCCACAAGAGCGATTGTGTGCACGCACTCTGAGCAAGCTGGCGTGGATCTCCTGCTCATATACCTAAGCCATGTTTTTGCCAGCGCATCCACCATTTTCCTGGCCTTGTTTTGTACGCCAAAAGATTTCTCATCTCTCAGGGCTGCCAAGGCTTTCACAGCATCTGCATTCATGGCTGCGCTAGCGCTAAGGATCCTATGTGATCACAAAAAGATCTTGTTTGCGTGCGTGGCGCTGTGCTTCCTTTGCAGCCAACAGCACCAGAAACATGAAATATCACCACACAAGCCTTCACCAGACAAGACCAACATGCCTACAATGGCCCCTTGCACAAGGCAAAGCAAGCCTGTAGTGGTAAAGGTCATCAATCAAAGAAAGCCTGTGTTGGCTCCAGTGCACATTTGCTCCAGCACACACCAGTCCTCCAAAGCCGAAGCATGTTTCAGAAAATCTGCCTCTTTGCCTTTGCGCAGCGCGTGTTGCTTTGTACAGCAATGTATGTGCAAAACTGGACGACGGGTGGCCCGAGAGCGAGAAAAAGAAAAGATGTAGATGTTAAGTTTGTAGATGTAGAACATGAATCTTAGTTTCTGATGGTTTAGGATGTAGAAGTGGTGAAGCAGATACAAGAAGAGGTGAGAAGAAAGGAGAAGAGAAAGTAGATATGAAGCGAGATCTGTGAGAAGATGTGATGACAGGAACAAGTGGCGTAGAGGAGGTGAGCAGATGTAGCAGAGGTATTGAATTTTGGATATAAAGGTGTTGAACAAGATGCAACAAGATGAGAAGATATGAGAAGAAGCAACCCTATCACACGATACCGCCAATCATCCCGCTCACCAGCGACGCGCCGCGTTTACGCCAGCATGTTTCGCGCTCCCCAGTGGCACGGCGCCACGCAAACGCACTTTCCACCAAGGCCGCGCAAAACCGCGTGGCACTGCGACATCACGGACGTAATTCGCCACACGGTCTGCCCACACACTAGAAGCAATCCTGTCCCATGATACCGCCAATCATCCAGCTCACCAGCGACACGCCGCGTTTACGCCAGCATGTTTCGCGCTCCCGAGTGGCACGGCGCATGGCACTGCGACATCACGGACGTAATTCGCCACACGGCCTGCCCACACACTAGAAGCTACCTTGCGGACCAAATGAACTTGTACTATTTAAATTTACTTAAAGTAACTTAACCTAGTTAGGGTGTACTTTTGTTAACTTGTTTGTCAACTAAAATACAATTATAACACAAGTAGATATAAGTAACCTCTAAGTAACTTATAAGTAGAAATAAGTAGAAATAAGTAGGTCGCTCTGTAAACCTTGTTTTTTGTTTTAAAGTAACTTTTGACAAAGAGCTTGTTTGGAAGGGATGATATATTAAGTTGCCCAAGACTGTTCACTTTCGATTGATTTGCATTTAATTCTCAAAACCTTGTTTTTTCAAAGTGGAAACCCTGTTTTTACCTATTAAAAGGATGTGCTTATATTGAGCGGGCACACCGTTGAACAGCAACCAACGTGACTGTGTGGAAATATTTCTGTAGTAGAAAAATATGTACATACAAATATTTTCTCTGCTTTACCTAAATAGACAAAATAGCGGGCATACCGCTCAGCAACAACTAATCGGGCTGTTCAAAAGCC